TTTTTTTTTTTTTTTCGTTCGCTCATTCGTATGTAACACTTAAATGTGCATATTGCAACATGATGAAAAAAAAAAAATAATAAGTCACCCATGCGAACATGTTCCCAACTACGGGGAGCTACCAGTTACTCATAACGAACAACCTTCCTCGTGTGTTACGACGGGGGTGGTGGAAGGGGGAAAAAAAAAGGAAGTTCTCACGCATCTTCTCCCCAAAACATTCCTACGCAACGCTTGCCTTTTAAGTGTACTCCCAGCAAGTGCTTAAAAAAAGGAACAGAAAAGGAGAAAGTAACCATGGGGCCAAGTTACAAAATTGTATCAACCTCACACAGACGCAAAATGGTGGGTAGCTTCCTCCTCTGCAGTTCACTTCTGCTCTTCTGCTTAGCTTGCGTGAATTGCAAGCTGCCCTGCCCCCAACGCGATCTCTTCAAAATTGACGCGGATAATGTTCAAACCGTTTTTGACACAAATGAGTACTGGTTTGTAAAATTGTAAGGCAGACGGCAAAAAGAAGAAGAAACAAAAAAAAAAAAAATGTTCATGTAAAACAACATGGTCTTAGACCTACACTCAAGCTAGAATGTATAAGTGATACTTTCCCTCCATTCCTCTGTTAAACGTAAACTGCGCTTCCCCGTCCCCCTTCACATTTCTTTCCTTGTGTGCACACATGTCTATGTCCCTTTTTCACCCCTTTCCGAACGAATGAAGTTACGCCCCCCAGTGCGTGCACTGCAAGCGAATATGGAGTACCATAATGAATGTAAAAATTGACGTACAAAGTGATGATAAAAGAAGGGTGTATTTTGGAGAGGTAATGGACAGTAATGCATATAGTGAGTGATACATGGCATGGCACATCGTGACTTATTCAGATGGGACTATTGTGGCAAGGGCCCTTGTGTGTGTTTCTCTGCACCCCCCCCTTTCCTCTCAATGGTTAATGCGAAAAAAAAAAAAAAAATGATACCTATCCATGCAGGTTAACTGCGACGACACGAACGGACGGAGCATTTGTGAACAGTACGGCGTTTTAAACATACCCCAGTTGAAACTGTAAGTAAATAACATGGGTATGTCAGTAGCACTTCGTCTCATTCTACCACCTGTTCACACCATTTCCATGTCGCTCCATTTTTGTCTGTGTGTGACCACCCCCATTCCACTTCACCACCTCAGATTTAAGGGAAACGAATTGCTCTCAACATATTCATACAGCACTAACGATGAGCGTCTTATAAAGAAATGGATAAATTATGTTACAACGTAAATGAAGAAGCAAAATTTTGCAAAAAAAAAAAAAAAACATGTATCCTTTTGCCCGTCGGCCACTTTATGCAAGGGGGCCCGTGCAAATATGCTATGTGTTGTTTGTTTTGTCTCTCTTGAAATAGCTTTTTTTTGCTTTTTTTTTTTTTCCCCGTAAAATTACCTTGCCTGTTCATACAATTTTTGATGTATTTTCCCGGCATGGATAATAGGCCAGTCTTTTGGGCTGTCCATTCAGAGGAAGAGTTAAATTCGCGCCAAACGGACGACAATTTTTTTCTGACTTGTGCAGAAAATTTAAGCGTAAAAAAAGAAAAACGAAAAAGACAAAAACAACTGCAGGAATAAAATAATTCGCATGAACAAGCAATAATTTGTATAGGTGTCATTTTTTTTTTTTTTATCTCCTTTATTCCCCCCCCTACTAGGACGACTTAATCAAGGCGGCAAAGATCTACAGCGAGGAATGCTATTTTATTAACATTAAGAATAGGGTTAAATGGAAGGGAGAACGTTTGTTTTCGTGGACAGAAAAGCGTCCAGTGCAATGATTTGAGTCGCTTTAGTCCACGTGTGCACTTAGTATATGTGTGTATTTTTTGCGTTTCCCCTTCAGGAGCTGTGCGACAAGTTAAGCATCAAGGCAAACCACTTGCACGTGCGGGGGGCACAGGAGCATGCGACTTATGACCTGAACAAAATTGTAAGTCCCCATTTGCTTCACCGATAGAGGGGGCACCCACATAATTGAAAGTGCGAATCCACTTTGGTTTCTATTCGCGTCTTTTTTATTTCCCCGTTTTTATGCTAATTAATTTGCAGGACTTTGAAGAGCTCAAGTCTTTTATGAATAAAAATCGGTTCCCCCTAGTGAGCAAAGTTGACCACCACACCTTTTTTAACCTGAGGAGCAGTGGTATAAATGGAGGGACAAATGCGCAAAAAAAAAAAAAAAAAAACAAAGATACATATATATATACATATGTGTATCCACATATGATACACTTTCACATAATAAAGAGAGCGAGTAAACAGACATAACAGACATGCGAACGTGAAGTAGAAAGTGCACCGCTTCGCAACACAGGCTGTCATGTAAGTGTGACCCGCTCACGCACAATCAATCGACTTCCATCCCCTTGAAGGAAATAATTTGATACTACTCCTCTTGGACTTGGAAAAGGGGATTAACGCACACCTGTCCCAATTTACACATTATGCTAAGAA